TCTATTTTCTCTGCCCCACTGTCTGGAACCCCTATTAATTAATGTCAGACCTTTAGGATAGATTATTTTAATTTTCTTATGTTTTCTCCACTAGTTTCAATTTCACTCTTTTTTGTTCTTCTTTGTGAGAAATTTCTTCAACTTTAACTTTCAGCCCTTCTGTTGCATGTTTGAAAATTTCTTCCATCTGATTTTTTTTTATTTTCAAGAATTCCTTACTATTCTCTAGATATCCTCTTTTATAGCACTCCATTATTTCTTGATGCAATATCTTTCTTATAACTACCTAGGATACTCATTTTTTAAATTATATTAGTGTTTTTATTTTTCTTTTTTTAAAGTTTTCTTAGTTTCTTGCACAGTTCCTCTTTCCTCTGCATTCCTTTGTCTGTTTGTTTTGGTTCATCTCTCATGCCAGAACCTTATTTCAAATATCTGATGACCCTCGGAAAACTGATCGAAGCCTGGAATTGGGAGACCATGCCAGCCTTGTTGACTGATGAGACCCTCAAATGTCAATATCTGTAGATCTTTTCTCCTGAGCTCATCAAGTTTCCCCAGAAAGGACTCTTGCCAGTGGGAGTATAGTCTGGCAGTCAGCATTCTGGGAGCCGAGTAGGGGAAGAAAGTGGAGGTTCTGATCATTCAGCAGTCAGAGTTCCACATGACCTCCATTTCAGTGCAGCACCCCAACTGTCAGCTGTGCCTGGTGTCCCTGCATCGTCTGAAGCCTATGTGGGCCAGCTCCTCAGACAGACAGTAAACCACCAGTCTTCTGCCAGACTTGAGGAGGGGAAGTCACTTTGCTCTTTGAAGCTGGGGGTGGGGGACAGAGAGATCTGGGGTTTAATTCCTCTTTTATAAACTTTCAGACAGTCCTCTTGTTTTCACCACACCTGCACCTTGACCTTCAGAGGGTCCCAGTGTCCCCGATTCCTGAGCTTTTCTGAGGTTACAAAGGACTTAATCAGCCCGCATCTTGATGTCTCCCCACACTTCCTTTTCAGGCCCTTAGCACTGCTGAGAAAGCAGAAACCTAAGTCAGTTATTACTCCTCTGTCTGCTTTTCCATCTTCCAAAATGTGACGGCTCTAATCAATTATGGTCTCCTCTCCTTTTCCTTTTGTCTTTGAGGGTTTCTATCCCCCCCCACCACCACCACCCCCCTTTATTCTTACATTAGCTGGGTTTGGGAAAGAAGTGGAGATAAATGTATGTTTCCAAACCACTGTGTTTAATCAGAATCCTCTTCTTGGTTTCCCCTCATGCTTTACTTTATACCAGTGTGACAGTGCTTAGCACCTTGCACTTTAATTATCTGTTTTCTTGTTTGTCTCCCCTAGGAGACTGGGAGGACAGGAATCAAGTCTTACTCATTTTTTTGTATCCTTAGTATCTAATACAGTGCCTGCTATACAGTAGGTACTTACTAAGTGTGTACTGAATAATTGGATGAGCAAATTGGCCTCAGTCTCCCCATCTGTAAAATGAGAGCTTTGGAGCCATGATATCCTGCTTTCTATGCTTCTTTCGAGGCTTCCACTGGAGGAATGGGTGGTCCCTGGGGCTGTAGCTTCTGTGCCCTTCCTAGGAGAGTGGGCCTCCCAGATGGCACCTCAGGAGCACCCACCCATACGTGTCTCCCTCCTCTTTTTCAGGGAGCAGTATGTGCCCAGCCCTGTCCGCCAGGGACGTTCGGCCAGAACTGCAGCCAGGACTGTCCTTGTCACCATGGAGGACAATGTGACCATGTGACAGGGCAGTGCCACTGCACAGCCGGATACATGGGAGACAGGTAAGGCTGGGTATTAACTATTGTCCTTGCTCTTCACATTGCTAATGTTCACCACAGCCTTGCGTATAACTGCTAAGGTACGAGCCCACAGCATTCACTTTGCCAGCGTTCCTGTCTCCTTCCTCAGAAAGCATTCTGAGGCCTCTTGCCAGGGAGATCTATCAACTCATCCTTCCTTGCCCACAGCCTGCAGAGCACAGCCCCTCCCCTCCCCCAGTCCAGTTACCCAAGCCCTGAATTTGCCTTGGCTTACCTGGGGGATGGAGGTGAGCACCTCTTACCCACTCTACTTTCTGCGCTGATGCAGGGAGGCAATGGCACAGATAATCGAAAGGAGTTGAGAGTGCAAAATCACTTCCCACATTCAGCACGATTTCTCCCAGCAGTGGATTTTCCTTCCTAATATGAGTTCCGCCCAAAGGATACTGGCATCAGTTCACATCCTCTGAAGGCCTATGGTTGGAGAGCAGACTCAATGAGGCACCAGTGTCCTGGAGTCCAAACAACCTTGCAGAGTGGATAATCCACACAGCACAGAACTGAGAAATGACCATAGGTGCACATTTACTTATGGAAAAAGTATGCCATGAGGATACGGTGGGCACTGTGGAGGAGGGAGGCACAACAGCCAGTGGTCTGTTGTGAGCTAGAGGAGGACATGCGCTCACAGGACCCAGGCCAAGTCTCCTTCCTCTCATCCTCAGCCCTCAGCCACATGTGTCTCTTCACACAGAGAGAGGACAGTGATGCGGAGGCTGTCACACCCTGGATCATGGTTCCATTGGATCCATGTTTCATTTCCGACCTCTGGATTTTGTTAGTCTGTCTAGACAAGGTGAGATGAGAAGAACATTCTTTGCCACCCCTCTGCCTCCCCTGCCCAGGTAATATCAGGAAGCAGGGATTAAGGCTCAGTCAACCAATGAGTCCTTCCAACTCTGACCAACGTAATTAGTCTCCTCCAACTCTCGCTGGAATCAGGCCCAGATCCTTAATGATGTCCAGAAGAGACATTTTCCATTTTTATCCTTAGGCTTGCTTACCTGCAGCCCAAGGTCTTGTAAGCCAGATTGGATCCCTTTGCGAGCCAGTGTTCATTGACAGGAGCTTCCCAGGCATAGAACACGGGGTGGTCTGTGGGGCACCATCCTTCCTGACGCCTGATGGAGATTGAATCTCTGGGGGGCCTGAAGCATTGAGCACACCCTCCCATCCTCACCATCTCCCCCAAAGAAGGAAGCTTCCGGGATGAGCTAGTAGGAACAGGAGCCAGAGAGACTTTGAAACCAGACAGGACATCTGTGTTTCACTCCACTTCCATATGGGAAAGAATACAGCTCATTTGTTGTTGGAGATGAGCAGGCCCCGGGCTCCAGCCAGCTAGACTCAACACCAGTAGATCTCAGCTCATCAACTCTCTTGATTTTCACTGCCAAGATGTCCCAAATGGAGAAACAATTCAAAATCCCCCTTCGTGTTGGAGCCCTGCCATGAGCCTGGGGTAGAAGAGAAACCCCAAAAGACTAGGGGCCCTCTAGTAAGTTCCCCAGTCAACCGCAGGAGAGTACAATAGGAGGGCCTGTAGCATTCGGGTTCACACCCAAATGGGCTGCCTGGCGTTTAATATTTTGTAAAATTGCCTCCATTAATTTTGAAGATGACAGCTACATTAACCCACCCCAAATCATCACCGAGCTTATTAAAGTTGAGCGAGTGTAATAATGCAAGCCTCCCCAGATAGGCAAAAACCTGTGTAAATTAAACACGTAACAAGGGCTTTGCAGCTCAGTTTGTAATTTAATTGAGCAATGGATCTGGTTGTTAATGACAATATCAGACACATTAGATTGATATGTTGCAAAGGAAGGATGTTTAAGTAGAAAACTAATTCCTGCTGTGATTACGCTTCTGCTCCATAGGCCTGTTATTAGTGTGCTTTGTGTAAAATTCATCAGCAATCGTTGCTTGATCTCTAAATAAATAAGTTGTTTAAATTGTGAGGAGGAAAAAAAGGGGCTGATTATGTAAATGGTTAGGTCGTCAACACTGCATTTCCAGATTCTTTTTCTGGGGCTGTGGAATCAGGCACCGTGGAAGTATGGCAGGGTAGAGGACTGCCCTTCAGAGGGAGTTCAATGTCCAGTGCTCGGCCCAGTCCTGCTGGTGAGAGGGAGCAGGAATGTTCCAGTGACAGGGAGGAGAATCAGGAGGTGTCTCCTGGGGACCTCTCCTGGTCTGGCTTTTCTCCCCGAAGTCTGAGACATCTACGGCAAGCTAAGCTCAATGACTTCTGGGGAAACCTATTCTGAGGCAGAACCAAAAAACCAAGAAACCAAACCCATTGCTGTCAAGTCAATTCCAACTCATAGTGACCTATAGGACAGAGTAGAACTGCCCCATAGGATTTCCAAGACTAAATCTTTACAGAAGCAGACTGCAGTATCTTTCTCCCACTGGAGTGGCTGGTGGGTTCTAACCCTTGACCTTTTGGTTAGCAGCCGAGTGCTTAACCACTGCACCACCAGGGCTCCTTTTTGAGGCAGAACGGGGCTGGTAATTCAGTTAATGATCATATGGGACTTCAACAGCTCTTCCCCCTCCCCTTCTGCCTCAGTTTCACTCCTTACCGCCCCCATCCTGCTTCTCCTCCTCCTTCCTGTCATTCACCTTCCATTCATTCTCCAGACACCCCTTCTTTCTTTCCTCTTCCTCCTTCTCTTTTTTGCCCTCTTTCCCTTCGTGAGGCCTCAGATTGGTTCCAATGCGGCGCAGTCTGCCAGGAGATCGTCTGGGTTGTCTTGGGCACTTGCAGGCAGTGTGAGCTTGGAGCAGTCACTTCACCTCTACATCTCAGCTTCCTCAACTCCAGAGTGAGGGTACTGAGGATGTCTGCTGCTCTGAGGGTGGAGGACAGGCTTCAGGGTGTGAACAACCGGAAGCCCCTATATCATATGGGGGTGGGGGGCTGTTGCCATCCTTATCCCTGCTGGGCCCCCATCCTGCCAGATTCATCCGTTTGCCACAGTGGCCCTGAGAGGGGAGAGCTGGCAGAGCTTTCCTTGAGGGGAAGGCCTCAAGGCCAGCCAGCCAGCCACCCTCCTCCTCTTCCTGTCACTGTGGGCAAAGGGCAACAAAGACAGGGACACTCCAATCTGGAGTTGCAAAGTTAGTGCCCCCAAACCCTGATTGCTTCCCTAAGCCACTCACTGGCTGGTCCTACCACACCCTGGGGTCTGGTTATTCAACCCCATCACAGGCACCCAAGCCTCCTAGTGACTGACATGAAGTCACCCACACACAGGTCTTCCTGCCCTATCTGTGGAGAAGAACATTTGATTCCACCCATGACCCTCCAAGATTTAAGAAGGAAGCTAGGGCTACATTTTTTAAAACATCTTTTATTGCTTTTTCCCCTAACTATTATAGAATATATACAGAAAACCTAGAAAATGGAAAAATATAAAAATAAAAACATTTATAATCCCTCAGGTAAAGATTCTGACTGCTACGTATTGGAATTACTCCCTTTGAGCTTTGCTTATGCAGAATCTGAGTTCTGAAGGTCAGATGGGCTCTGTTTTAGGAGCTAGAAAGACATTATTAACAGTAGTAGTTATAACTACCATTTTTTATTGAGCCCTTACCATGTGCCATGTACCTTTATAAATGTTTCATGCATTCTCTTACTGAATCCTCCAACAGCTTGATGAGGTTTCGTTATTATTATCATCCCATTTTACAGAGGAGGAAGTGATGCCCGAGAGCTGTGAGGTCAGTTCTCAATTATCCGCACCACTGAAGTAGTGCTGGGACACGGATAATACAAAACCACAGAGTCCAGAGGCCATTTCCATTCACCTTTGAGACGCAGGAGTTGCCCATTTCTAGGAGCCCTGGTGGCACAGTGGTTAAAGCGCTCAGCTGCTAACCAAAAGGTCAGAGGTTCGAACCCACCAGCCGTTCCTTGGGGGAAAGACGTAGCAGTCTTTCCATAAAGATTTACAGCCTTGGAAATCCTATGAGGCTGTTGGACTCTGTCCTGTAGGGTCGCTGTGAGTCGTAATTGACTCAGCAGCAGTGGGTATGGTTTGGGGGTTTTATCCCCAGATTTACCCCGTGACTAGTCAGGCTCCAGTTGTGACAATGGATTTGCATCCCCTGGAAACAGCTATAGGCTGGCAGGGGTTGGAGGGACACATGGGGTGGGGAGGAGGCTGGGGCACATTCGGAAGGCTGGCTGCTCAGCAGTGGGGGTCACAACCTCCCACAGGGGGTCCACAGCCAATAGTCCTACACAGTTAATGAAGGAAGTTGACTAGTTATCATGTGTGGAGCTCTTGGTATTCGACCCCAGTGGAGACAGGACACAAAGAAGGCTTCATCCTTGGTGGCTCATGGGCTGATGGGATAGTCTCAGCCCCTGCCTTGAGGGGACCCCCAATCCAAGGAAGGAGAAATGACCCCTGACATGGGGGATTCCCCAGTCTGATGAAGAAGGAGGCCTCTTCTGCTCGGGCGCAATTCCACACTAGTGGAGGAGACACATCTCCCAGTGTGACAAGGGAGACCGTACATCTGTCCACACACTCACAAACGATGAGCAGAAGTGAACTGACCGCATTTCATAAAGTCTGAGATGCTGCCGATGGTAAGTTGCGTTGTCTCATACACTGCTAAGAAGAAAAACACTGATGATTAAACTATGCCCTGCCATCAGCTGTAACGCTTACCTGATTTCAGAGATGTTAACACATATTTTAAATATATAAGGTTTAGGATCAATGAAATATGATAGTGCAGACTCAGTGCTGGGGGACTCAGGAGACTGGTATGAAGGAGGGAACTGACTGGGGTGAGGAAAATCACGGAATACTTCCCGGAGGAGGATTTGAGGAGGGAGGGTACCAGGCCCAAGCCTGGAGGCAAGGTCAAGGGCAGTTCCACCCACAGTCTCAGTCCCTCCCCGCTGTCCCCACAGGTGCCAGGAAGAGTGCCCCTTCGGGACCTTCGGCTTCCAGTGCTCCCAGCGCTGTGACTGCCACAACGGGGGCCAGTGCTCGCCCACCTCAGGCGCCTGCGAGTGTGAGCTGGGCTACAAGGGCCCGAGCTGCCAGGAGCGGCTGTGCCCTGAGGGCCTGCACGGCCCAGGCTGCACCTTGCCCTGCCCCTGTGATGCCGACAACACCATCAGGTACGAGCTGGGGACAGGCGAGCCTGGGGAAGGACAGGGTGGGCACGGATGAAGAGGGAGCCTCTCAAGCCACTGCCCCCCACCTCCAGCCCAGTCCAGCAGCATGGCCATCCAGGCAGAGAGGAGAAGGAGCTGGGCCTCAAAAATCAGCTCAGCTAGCCACTTTGGTGAACAGAAGGGGAAGCTGAAGCCACGCAGCCAGAGCCAGGACTAGAACCCTGGCCTCCTGCCTCTGTCCACCATACCAGGCTGCCTGCCTTTGAAACTGAGCCGGCCTGAGACACCACAGACAGGAACCAGGAGGGATCCTGGGGCACTCAGGGGAGCAGGTGGGGTGGGACAGGGCCACATAGAGCTGGGATGCCTGGGATGGTGGGGCTTGGGGTACTACAGGCTCTGGGAGTATTGTTCTGGAGAACATTTCTTCTACGCACTGCATCTAACCAAGCCGCTCCCCCAATCCCAAGGGGCCCAAAAAATAGGGCCACCTGGGCGGAAGCAGGGGTGGAGCCACAGAAGGTCAGTACTAGAAGGGACCTTAAAAATCAGTATAGCTGGGCCTGGACTGGAAAGTTGGGGTCAACCTGTGGTTCTCAACTGTAGGCAGTTTGCCCCTGCGGGATATTTGACAATATCTGGAAACTTTTCTGTTTGTCAGACTTAGGAGGAGGTGATGCTGGCGAGGGTAGAGGAGCAGACCCTTCATCAGGGCCTTGGCTTGGGGACAGCTCTCCCTGTGCTCTGTGTCCTTGGGGTTTGGGGACCCCTGGGCAGAAGCTAGCCCCTACCCCTGTGTCCAGAAGAGCCAGCACTGCTCTGGGCCGCCTCTCCCAGCTCCCGTCACTTTCGGCTTCACACACCAGCTGGCACCGCCCTCTGATGATAAATGAGGCTGTCGTCGTGCTCCCCCGCCCCCGGCCCCCAGAGGAGCCCTGGTGGCACAGTGGTTAAGATCTCAGCTGCTAACCAAAAGGTCAGCAGTCTGAATCCACCAGCCATTCCTTGGGAACCCTATGGGGCAGCTCTAACTCTGTCCTATAGGGTCGCTATGAGTTGGAATCCACCCAGCCGCAACGGGTTTGGTTTTTTTTGTTTCAGCTCCCAGATAAAGGCGGGGGGTGGGGGGACCCTCCTGTGTGCCTCGCTGGTTTCGCCTGGCCTGGGGGACAGTTCAGAGAGGACTGGCCGCTACAGCAGAGGGTGCCACCGCTATTCACAGGCCAGAGAGAGAACTTTCGGCCCTGTTCACTGGGACAGCCAGGACTTAGCCCAGCCCCGCTTCATTTCTAGCTTTTGATTATCCACAAAGCACGCAGGAGCCTGGGGTCACTGCAGACAGAGGTGTCTCAGCAAGCGTTTATGGCTTCAACAGAAACAGACCTCAGTCCCTGGAGCTGAGTGCTGGCTGGTGCTGACTGCAAGGGTGGAGGGTAGGGGCGGAGACTGACCAGAGGGGGCCCTGGAGCAACAGACCTGGCCTGTACATGACCTGAGCATTCATACGCTCAGTCAGTCATTCCACAGACACTGATGCTTGTAGGGCTGGTCCTTGAGGTGGAAACAGAGGCACCCTCAGCACCAGTTCAGCCCTTGAGAACTCGAACTTGGGCCTGGAGTGCTCACACACACTGAGCACCTTCTACCATATTTCTTCAAATACAAAACAACACCAGGAGTGAGGCAGAGCTTTATTTTATATACTGCTGACAGAGGAAAATGCTGCCATCTGCGCTGTGACGTACCATTGCTTGTATGGCACACCCAAGGGGCATCAAGGGGCGGGGGGATTTTAGTGCATCTTAGAATCAATGAAATATGATATGTGGTTGTCCCTGCTGGGTTCCAACATGTACCCAAGTAACTGTGATCCAGGGTTGCATGCAGAAAGCACCCCAGGAGAGTGTAACAGCTGGTCAGGGAAGGCTGCCTGGAGGAGGTGACATCTAGGTTGGGTCTGGAGGCCAGGACTGAAGCTCTAAGACTCTAAATTCTGGGCTTCCCGCATGGCTGGTCAAGGACTGGGCAGATGCCTGCCGCTATTCCACAGGTGGGAGTAGGACCAGGATCCTCCGCCCCTGCTGGGAGGGTGGGGAAGGAGCCTCTCAGGAACAGGAAGCAAGGCTGCTGCTGGGCTGCAAACCAGGGAGGGTCCCTGCCACAGAGCTCTAAGCAACCCCCATATTAAAGAGCTATTGTTTTCCCTCCCCGCCTGAGCAACCGTGCTGTGCATAATTTCCTCTTCCTCTGAAGGAGCCTCGATGCATGATTAATCTGGAAGGACTCCCTCGTCCCCGTCGCTAATCTCAGTCCCTCCAATACTGATGATTATTTGCTTTACTGTCTTTAATGCATGTCAGGTTTCAGGGACTGGGAGGCTGTAGTTGTTCTTGGGAGTGGGGGCTCCAAGTGTGCCTGCCAGCCCACCCCCCAGGCTGAGCTCTCGGTGTCTGCGTCACTACCTCCTCAGGGGGGATTCTTCACAATGCCCGGCTCCTCGAGGGCTGGGGCTGCCTGGCTGGCCCACGTCTGCAGCCTCAGCATCATACAGCGCCTGGACAGAGTTTGCCTTCGGTAAAAAGAACCACTGGGATAATCTAACCAGCCCATTCCTCTAGCTAGTTCTGCCCCTGAGCTGATCACCTTCCCCCCTCTCTTTTTTTTAAATATTTCACCCCATTCTCTTGGCACACTGTCCCATGGTGGGTGGAGCCCTCAACACTCACCAAGATCTTTGTTTAGTTGAACCCAGGGTTTCTCAGCCTTGCCACTACTGACACTTTGGGCCAAATAGTTCTTCGTTGTAGTGGCTGTCCTGTGCATAGTAGGACGTTTAGCAGCATCCCTGACCTCTACCCAGTGTGCTAGAACCAACCTCCTCCACAGCCAGCTGTGACAACCAAGAATGTCTCCAAAAACCAAAACCAAACCCACTGCCGTCAAGTCGATTCCACCTCATAGCGACCCTATAGGACAGAGTAGAACTGCCCCACAGGGTTTCCAAGGAGCGGCTGGTGGATTTGAACTGCGGACCTTTTGGTTAGCAGCCGAGCTTTTAACCACTGCACCACTATTGTCACATGTCCCCAAATTGCCCAAGACTGAGCACCGCTGTTCTAACTGAACACTCCGGTGCTGCACTTGGTTTCAGGGAGACACCGATCAGCTCTCCTCCTCTGCACAGGTCGCCTCTTCTTTTCCCGTGAGCCCTTGTCCTGTTGTAGAGCCTTCACTTAGAACCCAGGAAAAGCAGGGGGATGATTCTGTGACTTCTAATCTCGAGGCAGTTAAGCTACAGGTCCTGGGGCTGAGACTCCTGAGTCCTGGCCTCAGAACTTACCTCTGTCTGAGCAAATGTCCTGATTATGCACATCTCCTCTCCGTTCCTCAGTTTCCCAATCTGTCCATCACCTTTCCTGAGCCCAGTGGGGGAAAAGAGTTCTGTTGTGGTCTTTGAAAGTGAAGCTTCCACGAAACGACCCACAGAGATGGCGTGTGGGACCCCCAGGAGCCTCACCTCACTTCCCCCTGGCTTGGGCAGAGCTCCCAACAAAGCCCTCACTGAGACAGCCTGCAAGGCCTTGAGCATCTTTTCTAGGAAGACAGAGCACCCCAGCCCCCAACCAAAGAAAGCCCTCCTCATGGAACCCCAGCCCCTCTCTGCTTTGCGCCCCTCTGGCCAGGCTGTCTCGTAGAGCCGAGTTCACATGGCCTGGGAAGGAAGGCATGGCTGGTGAGATTCCCCAGGGCTTCACTCCTTTAGAAACTGTTTGTAGCGCATACAAAGGAGCCCTCCTCCGTCGTAAAGGTGTCGGGCCTCTTAAATGTCCCGTCTACCATTGGATTGTCGTAGACGAATTCCAGCAGCCATGATCATGTATTATCTTTGGAAGATTTGATTTAGCCACCAGATGTGGCATCAATAAAACCTCATAGCAGCCAAAAGAAAGGCAGACAAATCCACCCTGAAAAGATTCCTGTAACGTTCAGCTTTCGGCTCCTATTAGCTTGTGATTAATCTATGTCTAGGGAAAACGAGAAAATGGAATAAAGGAAAAAAAAAACAGAGAAAATGGAGCATCAGCTGAAACAGCAGGGATTGTGACTTTTGTCTGAGCCTAACCAGTAGTCACCGGTCACCATGTGACTCAACGGAATGGCTCGTGGCACTGCCAGGAGGAGAGGACAGGGAGGGGGACAGTGGGAGAGGGGACCCCAGCACCAAGCATGGTGATCGCAGTTCACTCAGTCAGTGGTGACTCCCCGCCCTCTTTCCAAAGGCTTTTTTTGGAGTGCTTATAACAAGAGACAAATAATCAAATTAAGAAAAGAGATAATCACATTTTTTAAAATATAATTTTAGGGGCATGAAAAGGAGAAAGAAATAAAGAATTTTAAATTTGATTTTAAGCTTTCTGGTTCCCAGTGCAAAAAAGTAAAACTAGAGCTCAGACATCCCCAAACAGCTAAAATGATACGGCAGAGATGAATGGCGGGAAATGGGGGCGAGGGGCGGCGGTTAGGCGCCATTTGTGAGACCGAATTAAGAGACCAGGAAGGAAACATAATATCAGTGTTTCCAGCTCTTGCGGGCCTGGGGCGCTTAGCACGGACTTGTGCCCTTGTCCAAGTGTGAACCGCAGGTGGGTGAACTTTGGGAGACTGTTGGTGGGGAAGGAACAGCAGAAGAATCTATTTATGGGAAGGGCGGAAATGTGCCTGAAACCCTTTAGAATCTCCAGGGCTGGACAGTGCCAAGGCCTACCAGGTCATTCCTGGGGCCCAAGCATGTCCGCCACCACGGCTGTGACTAAGCTTGTTCCCCAAACCCTAAACCAAAATATCAGAGAAGGCCTCAGGAAAGTTGGAACCTACAAAGCCTGTGCCTAAGGACTTTAGTCAGAGGGTTGGGACAGAGATTAGTGCCCCAAAACCATCTGGCTGAGGGTCGGGATGACCAAGGAGGCCCCTGCCCCATAGTCAGTCCGTAGTCTTGCCACTACCTCTGCTACAGGGCTTGGCGCTCAGGGAGGAATTTTTCTGGAACCGTGAGGGTCGGAAATCTTTGTTCTGTCAGTCAGACTTGCTTTCTGAGTCTTCCAACACTCAGCCAGTATGTGCATTCTTTTATATGTTTACAAGTTTTCTTGCTTTAGATCTGTTTATAAATATAATAGATGCTCAGGTTTGGAACATTAGAGAATACATAGAAAATTAAAGAAAAAGTTCAGAATCATGCATAATTTCTCAACCCAGAGATAAACGCTAAAGCTATTTTATCGTCATTTGTTCATTCTTCATCCACGGGTTTGTATCTATGTATCTATATCACTTTTTTTCATGTTTTGGATCAGGTATACAGCTGGCTGACTTCCCTTAACTTTATAGCAAGTCATTAAATATTTTGGAAAACATTTAAGGAGCTCTCTAACATTCCTTCCTATGGATTTCCATAATTCATTTAACCAGTACCCTGCTGTTAGAGGCGGCATCAGGCCGACCTGGGTTTGAATCCCAGCCCCACCACTGACTGAGCCGTGGGACCTTGGGCTAGTCACGTGACCTCCAAGTGCTGTCTGTAAAATAGAGGACCTAAAGCCTAAATCACGGGCTTATTTGAAGATTAGAAATATATGTGCAAAGTGCCTGGTGCTTTAATAGCCTGGTCACATATTATTTATTATTATTTAAACTGCTTCCATTTTCCAGTGTTATAAACAATGGTTCAGGGAACATCTCTGTGCATAAATCTTTCTCCACAACTACGATCGTTTCTTTAGGATACATTCTGAGAAATGGAATTACAAGACCAAAGGGTCTGAGTGTTTCTAGGACTCCAGATACATAACCCCAAATTGTTTTCTAGAAGCCTCTACCAGCATTGAGTATTTGTCCCTTTTTAAAAGTCTTTACTGCTTTGGTAGCGAAAAGTAGTATCCAATTGTTGTTTTGACTTAATAATTAGTGAAGCTAGACATTCTCCGAAAAGATTATTACTATTTGCACATAGTATTCAGGAATTGCCTGCTCTGTCCACCCACTCATTTCCCATGAGAAAAACCAGGGCCTCCACAAGAGAAACAGCTTGACTAGGCTTCACACAATTCGTTTGTTCATTAATTCATTGACCAAATACGTGGTGAACACCTCCACCGTGCCAGGGACACTCCTGGGCCCTGGGGTACAATACAGAGGTAAGCAGAGAAACAAAGGGCCTCCCTCACAGAGCTGCAACCAGGTGGGGGAGACATGATAAACAAGTCAACAGACACATAAAATAATTATACATTATGAAAGTACTATTCCTTCTCAGCTCTTTAATTGGACCCTGACTATGAGCCAGGCACTGGGAATCCAGAGACATAAAGCCCCTGTCCTCCTGAGCTTAACAGGACCAAGACTTGTACCCAGGCTCCTCCTGCTGGCCCAAGCACATGCTTCTCTTGAATTTTGTCTTAGATTCCTGTGACCGCCATAACAAAATACCACAAACTAGAGGGCTTCCAACAACAGACGTTTTCTCTCACAGTTCTGGAGGCCAGAAGTCTGGATCTAGGGTGTTGGCAGGGCCATGCTGTCTCTGAAGGCTCTAGGGGAAGATCCTTCCTTGTCTCTTCCAGCTTCTGGTATCCCCAAGTGTTCCTCGACTTGTGGCAGCGTAACTCAGTCTCTGCCTGTCTTCACATGACATTTTCCCCGTCTATCTGCCAGACAGGTGTCTCTTCTCTTTTTCCAAGGACAGCATTCATATTGGATTAGCTTCCACCCTACTCCAGTATGACCTCAGGCTAACTAATTACATCTGCCAAGACTCTATTTTCAAATAAGTTCACAGTCACAGGTAATAGGGGTTAGGACTTCAACATATCTTTTAGGGGAACACAACTCAATCCATAACAACTGTGTCCCTTTTTCTGGACTCTGAACTAGGGAGGCAGGTGACACAGGGCATCTAAGAGGTTCGTCTCTACCATCCAGTACCTTTCCATGTGTGTTAGTCTGGGTCCTCCCAGAAGCAGACCCCAAGTGCATGAGATTTCCTAGGGGAAACGTTAGTGAGGAGAAGTGGGGAGGGGTCTGGGGAGGCGGGAGAGCCATCAGACCTCAGTGCAGGTCTGACTCATGTGAAGGAGAGAGGGAAGGAGGGAAGGGGGGTGGAAGTATCTTGCTCTATAGTGCAGTTCTAAGGCAGTTTGGGAAGGCTCATGGGGAGTCTTCAAGCCAGAGTTGCCCATCAGAGGAGTCTGTGTCTCGGAGGAACGACCCTACCTTAGTATCCCTGCTGTGCTCAGTCACTGGCCGGAAGTAGCCTGTGGGAAGTGTGGCTGAGCAAATGTAGTGTTGGATTTCAGAGCACAGCAGCTGGGGCCACGGTCAATTCCACTCCCAGCAGGAGATGTTCATGGCCCCCACACCTGGCATCCCTTCTGATCATGAATGGATGTTGGCTGTTTGATCAGATCTCTGCCAGCCAGAGGTTGCCCCACTCTCTAGTGGTCATGCCCCTGGCTCCAGGCAAATGGTCCTTTCTCTGACCTAGATGGACACGGGGCACAGAAGAGCTCACTCTTTGTTAAAGAGTCCTGGTGAAGCATGGGTGGAGGGTCTTCTCCCCATTGCATTACCCGAGAAGGGGAGGTCACATCTGCCCTGAGATCTCCTTTTAACTCAGCAAAGGTTGACTGAGTACCTACCCGAGGCAGAGCTGCTGGGACTTGCTACTACCCTCTCGTGCCTGCCCCCACATTAGGTATCTGCCTTGGGTGAAGGGAAGTGGGTGAAGCCCTGGACCCTTCATAGCCCGTAAGGCAAGGGGCTGAAGAGCCTGTCTTCTGCTTTGGTCCCTGTGTATTTGTATCATAAAGAGCACTTGTTAAGGAGTCGGGAGAGCTGTGTACTAATCCTGATTCTGCCACCTCCTCGCTTTGTGACTTTAGGGCAGTTACATAAACACCTTGAGCCTCAGTTTCTGGGGGCTAGTAGGACCGTGTGGCCTTGGCATCTTCTGATAACAAACAAGGCATTGAGCAATTTAACCTCAGAGGTCCTTTGATTCTGCCACCCTGGGCAGACCTGACTTGGTGCGGGCAGCGGGGTGGGGGGACGTGGCTGCATCCCTGACCGGACTCTCCCCTCACCCTTCTCTCACCTGCTCAGCTGCCACCCAGTAACCGGAGCTTGCACCTGCCAGCCGGGCTGGTCTGGCGGCCACTGCAACGAGTCCTGCCCTGCTGGCTACTACGGCGAGGGCTGCCGGCTGCCTTGCTCCTGCCTGAACGGCGCAGACTGCCACAGCATCTCTGGGGGCTGCGCTTGTGCCCCGGGCTTCATGGTAAGACGCGAGGGCCGTTCCCACGGCCTCCCCTGCCCCCCACCACAGGCTGGGTTGAGTGGGAGGTGTGGTCCTGCACCCAGAGGTGAAGAATGGGAGTGTCTCCTCGTGTGCCCCTCAGAGAGCCCCCAGAGCTGCTCTCAAAGGGCCAGTTCTGCTGGGGTTTGTAATTGTAAAAGCAAAAGAAAGAAGGGCCTTCCATCGTCCCCCCAACACCCTGAAACGCCAGCTGTCTTCCTTTGTGTCAGCTCTTCCCTGTCTGTGTTCTTATGCACACAGTAGTCTCACATCCTAACAACCACAACGCACACACGCGGTTTTTCATTCTTCGTCTTTCCCCCACATTGCTGCCTGGGCTGCTTAATCCTCATTTGAAATGGCTGCATGTCACTTACGTCCCCCAGTTTACTCAGCCACTCCCTGCCTGCTGACTATTAAGCTGTTTCCAGTGTTTGCCACAAACGTTGCAATGAGCACCTTCACACCAACAGCTTCCCCTCCCTCCTTCTGAGTTATTTCCTTACGGCTGAATTCCCAGGGTCAGTGGGTATAATATATTAATGGTTCTTGATGGATGCTGCCAGATGACTTTCCTCAGGGGTTATATAAATCCACACTGCCACCACCCGTGTTTGGATGTACCTATTTTAGAACAACTTTGCTAACATTTTTTTTTTTTTTTAGTTTTGCTAATTACATAGGCAGAAAATGGCTGCTCAGTGTTGCTTTAATTTGCATCTCTGATTACGAAGGGGAATGAGCGTTTTCCCCCACGCGTTTGTTTACTGTTTATATTTCCTCATGAATTATGCTGGTCTTTATGAGGTTTGAGTCTGGGGAACTTGACATTGGAAGTGGAATCCTACTCAAAGGTCAGGCGTGCCTGGTGGGTCCAAGGAGCCAAACGCGCAGAGGTCAGCCAGGACCACATTTTTTGTTGTGCTGGAGGTGGGGGTTTATGCAGAAAGAGCACGGTCTTTGGAACCAGTCAGACCTGGGGTCATATCCTGACTGTCTTGCCAACTGTGTGACCTTGGTCAAGTGACTTCACCTGTCTTATGCTCAGTTTCCTCACCTGAGAAATGGAACACCTGCCTTGCAAGGTTGTGGTAAGGTGTAGAGATATAAAGTACCTGGTAGCAGCGCTTCTGAGACTTAAGTGAACTTATGAATGACCTGGGATGGGGCCTGAGAGTCTGCATTTCTCAGAAGGTCCCAGGTGGTGCTGCTGCTGCTGGCCGGTGGTCCTCACCTTGAGTAGGAAGGTGTTGGTGTCGTTACTTGCCGTCAAGTCGATTCGAACTCATGGGGACCCCCAAGTGCACAGAGTAGAACTGCTCCATTGGGTTGTCAATGCTGTGACCTTTAGGAAGCAGATCACCAGGATTTACCTCCAAGGCTTCTCTGGGTGGGTTTGAACCACCAACCTTTTGCTCAGTAGTCCATGGCTTAACCATTTTCGCCACCCAGGGAAGGTACTGCACAGCTGGGGTTCTGCACTTTGGCTGCACGTTGGAATCACCTGGGGAGCTTTAAAAGTGCTAATGCCTGGCCCCTACCCCAGGGATTCTAATGTATTTGTCTGGGGGTCTACTTGAGGCCAATGTGCTGCAAAACCCGGTTTCCGTCGAGTCAATTCCGACTTCTAGCTACCCTATGGGACACAGCAGAACTGCTCCATAGGGTTTCCAAGGAGCAGCTGGTGGATTCAAACTGCTGACCTTTTGGTTAGCAGCCAAACGCTTAACCACTGCACCAGCAGGGCCTCAAGGTGGGGAAAGTGATGGACAAGAAAACCCTTGGTGTGATAATGGAAGTGAGGGTTTTCTGGGGTCAGTGCATTTTGTGAGCAGGTTGCCCTTGGTCTGCAGTGCAGGGCTCAGGGCAAAACACTGCTCAGCATCCTCTTCCTCTTCCCCAGTGCAGATAAAACTGGATGGAAATGAACTCTGGTGGCATCTTTGAAAGGGAGAGAAATCTGATCCTCCTCAAGATTTCTTCTCTAATTTATCTTTGTTAGTGTGAGTTTTTTCCATAACTTCCATGGACAAATGGAAGTGTCCTAGGTTTTGGGTTTGAGTAGGAGAGAAGAGATGTTTGTAATTAAAAATCTCAGATAGCCAAGTGCCCAGGTGACTGAAGTTGAAGTGAATTGTCAGCAGTGGACCATGAGTGGGGAGTCCTGACTGCCAGTCCCAGCTTAGCCACTAGGGTGGTTCTGTGACACTGGGCCTTCGGCTGATTTCTAAAATGGTATACTGTGCTCAAGGAGCCCTTGTGGTGCAATGATTAAGTGCTCTGTTAACCAAAAAGTTGGCAATTTGAACCCACGAGCTGCTCCATGGGAGAAAAGACCGAGAGATCTGCTTCTGTAAAGATCACAGCCTTGGAAACCCAATGGGGCAGTTCTACTCTGTCTTATGAGTTGCTGTGGGAGAATGAGGGAAATGATGGGAAGTAGGAGCAAAGAGGTGTCTGCACAATGTGGGGTGCATTGAGGGTTGTTATAATCTGATCGTATACATTTGTCTATGGGTTTGGATCCTTTTATCACCCAATGAGAATCTCGCCTGCCACCCCCAGCTTCCTGCCTAGTCACTGCTCCTCAGAAGGGAGCAGGGCCCTGCGAAGGTACAGAGTCCATGTGCCCACTGCTCCCAGGCCAAGCCCCACAGTCTGGAAGCCAGGCCAATATCTCTCTTCCTTCTATCTGGAATGCAAATGACCTTCTGTCCTTGAACTTTGGCGGACTTGGCGCTTGTTGGAATCATCTCGCTATTCCTGCCAGTCTGGTGCTCAGGGCTAAGACAGATTGTGAGCCAGGCTGCCGTGGTCAGCCCCTGTGAATTCCCATCCGTCTCCTCCTGCCCAGCCTTATTATACCTGGAAAGACTCTTCTGGGGCCCTGATGGATGTTGGGAAGGAGGTGCTTAAGGTGATTACAGAACAGTGAATTGTTCTCATCTAGCGTGACCCTGCGTAGAAGCCATCACTCTTGCCCTCACCCCAGATTTTGAATCAGTGCGATTTCTGCAATTAGCCATCTCTGGCCAGGGTCGGGGATGGGGCAATCAGCAGAGCAGATTCACCTGACACCGTCCCCAAAATGTCCTGGAGTCAGTGATAATTAGCAATGCCTTTATTTGTTGTTGGTTTGTGGATTTCTGTACCTGCCTTCCCCCCACCAAAAAAAAAAGATTGGACAATTAATTGGACTAATTAAAAGAGCCCTTTTCTAGGTGTCTGGAGACCTTGATCCCAGACTTAATAACCTTAAGCACGTTGTATCACCTCGCTGGGCCTCAGTTTTCTCATCTGTAAAATGGGAAGAGTCACCTTCATCTTGCCTACTATTGGCTGTGAGTAGTCAATACAGTAATGGATGTGAGGCCATATCCTCAGCTGTCCACAAATTGCTCCTTAGGGACGATGCTGGGGTAGCTTTAAGAAAGCAGAGGGGCTGAGAGTGGTGTCAGGCTCAACAGAGAGGTGAGGACTACTGATGAGGAGGGGGCTGGAGTGAAGTGCAGAGCCAGCCCAGTAGCTCAGGGCCATGCCTGCTGTAGTGTTCAGGAGGCACTGTGGGGGGACATGCCTGTCTGTGTCTGGGGGAGTGGAGTTAGGGAAAGAGGTGGGAAAAGAGTCTGGGCATTTTACGTGGTAGCTTGGCAACAGGAGTGAAATCATTGTAGGGGGCCTTAGTGAATTGCAGTGGGGCTCCCCGATGCGGGAAAAGAGTCCTGGGCTGGAAAGCAAGAAACCAGGGTTCTAGTCCTGGCTCTGCTCACTCTGGGACTTTATTGATCACTTGTAAAATGGGAATGAAATTCTCTGCGCAAAGAAAACAATGAAATCATTGAATGAGCCAGTCATCTAAACAACGAGTCAGTCTTTCAAATGAGAGTGCTTAAAGTTGGGAGCAGAGTTGTTTCAGCACCTCGGACAGCTCATTGGACAGCCTGTGTGAGCCTCTGCTCACAGCTGCTCTGTGCCCCGTTAAAACACAGGGACCCACCCACTCAAAACCCCAGAGTGAACAGGGACTGGGGAGTGCAGAGTGAGGGTCACTCTGCCTACCCACAGCAAAGGGACTCAGGCCAGCAGAGTTCTGGGGCAACAGCAGCCCTGTACTGGGATTGTCTATGGGACGACCAAATACAGGAAGTGAGGACCTTCCCTCCCACCCACCCGGGATGGGGAAGTAGCTGAATTGGGGATGAGGGAACTGTGTGGAGCTGGGCAGACTAGCAAGGTGCCATCCACTTGGAGACTAGTGTCACATCACCTCTCTCCATAGTCCCTGATTGCCCACCAAATAAAGCTCCAACTCCAGCCCTTTGTAACCTGCCCTCGAAACTAAAGTTAGGCCACACGAACCTCATCTCCTGCCAAGTTCTGCCACAAACCGGTGCTGTGACCACACTCAACTCACTTTTTCACAAACGCAGTGTCTGCTTTTGGCCTCTGTGTGTTTTCTCAGGCTCTTCCCATTGTCCTTATCGTTCTATGAAAATCCTTCTCAGCCTTGCAGGTTAAGGTCAGAAGTTGCCTCTTTCATGAAGCCATCCCTGAATACTGTTTAGAATCAATCATTCCATCCCCTCTGTTCTCACAGCAGATGGCTCATACTCAGAGTCTGTCTCCACGCAGGCAAGGATATGTCTCCCTCCAGCCCCTGCACCGCCCCCCAGCATGCCTACCGTATGAACTTCTTGCTCAATAAACTTCTTTGCAATGAATGAAATTCTTGGGAGGAGCAACGTCCTTAAAGCAGAAGTTTCCAGAACTGACATTTATAGGAAGGACATTCAGGGCATTTCCCAAAGGACCCTACCAGCAGGGCTGCGGCTTGAATCCCCCTTGGCTTCTCCGAAGTTCAGATAAACAGGTAGCAGCACTGGGACTGGAGCACCTGTCCCCCAATACCATCTTCAAGTTCTTTGGGTACATGGCGTGAGCTTCGACCTCATGCCATACTGTGTAGTTTCCACAGAGACTCT